CCGCCCCAGCCCGGGCTCCGCGGCCTGCCCATCCCCGGCTCCCGCGCTCCTCACCTCAGCGCCGCCCGGCCCGGCCCCAGCCCCAGCCCGAAACTTCCGCTCCCCGCCGCGGCGGCCTAGAGAGGACTCGCTGCGACTGACGGAGACGGAACGTTAAGGCGGAAGCGGAAACGGCCCGCGTGAGGCCGCCCCGCGCACTCGCGGGGGGGGAGGGGGAGGGAGAATTAGGCACCAGCACGTGACGCAGGAGCACAGCGCCTCAATGTGGAGGATGTGGTCACGTGACGGAGGAGCGGCAGCCTGCTGCCCTATCACGTGACGCGGAAGAGGCCAACGCGTCTGGGTCAGTCACGTGACTGGCGGGGAGGGGTGGAGCCCAGCACCTCCTGTTCCATGGCAGGAGCTGCTGCAGGGCGAGTGGAAAGGGAGATTTGGGGCCAGGAGATCGAGGGCGGCTGGGGTCCTGGCCCCACCACCTACAGGGGGCAGGAGCTGAAGGGCAGGGGCTCTAGAGGAGCTGGGGTCATGGGCCTCTCACGCACAGGGGCCAATTTCAGGAGCTGGAGGGCAGGGGACCCAGAGGGGCTCAGGTGCTGGCACCCAGCTTTTGAAAGGGCTAAGGGAGAGGTGGGATGTGAAGCAGGGCTGGGTTGAGTCCTTGGTCCCCAGCTTCCCCGAGGCCCAAGAGGAGCATAGGAGAGAGGGCTGTCGGCTTGGCAGAAGCCTGCCCTCATGGCACCCGTCATATATGGGCCATGGTAAAATCATGTCAATGCCTTGCTGTGTCATGCTACCAAATCACCTTCTTGTGCCTCCCATGGTCTTGGCCATGCCGCTCTGCAAGCAGCAGCAGGTGAGAATTAAGTATCAGGGGGTAGCCGTGTTAGTCTGTATCTACAAAAACAACAAGGAGTCTGGTGGCACCTTAAAGACTAACAGATTTATTTGGGCATAAGCTTTCGTGGGTAAAAACCTCACTTCTTCGGATGCATGCAAGAAAGCCAATACAATGCACTGTAAAGCTCACACCTGCAGTTACCCTGTGACGGCATTGCAACACTATGCCAGCGTTTCATTATGGTGGCTCATGAGGTCACCGAGGCATGTTAAGGTTATCGAGTACACTCATCCCCTTTTATCAAGGTTCTCACACTGCTCGTCACAAAGGACTTCCTATTCACCTGGGATTGGCTCCTCATTTCTAGCTGCCAAACTACATGAAAAGGTATCTAAAAATACACTAAATACTTTCCCCACTGAAAGATTTTGAGGACCTCTGAGATGGGATCTTGGAAACAAACCTTTTGTTTTGGTTTTTTGCTCTGAGTGCTAAATTTTATTTTATTTTTCCATTGGGGGCAGCCAATATTATGTTGTCCAACTATTCTGTATTTTTATACAAATCACTTTTGTGGACTCTAGCACACAACACACAATAAAGGGTGTTACAAGATACTACATATGTGTAAGATTGTCAGAAAAAGTATAATTATGTGAAAAACAGGATTGACCATATTCAGGTAAGCATTTACAGAAGCAGGGAAAGGAGGGTGTGAAAATTATATCTGCAAGCTTAACTTCTACATTTCCCAACATGATTGCTTAAGAGGAACCTTAAAAAAACCGGAGAAAATTAAATGGAAACTCCATCCAAAAAAAACTAAGTTGTTGACACAGCAGAAGCAGCTGTACTCTCCCAGGACTCTGAGGACTTGTTTTTATTTTTTACTCTTATTTTGTCAGTGTAAAGAGGCCTGGAAGTGGGTGGACATATGTTTACACTCATTTTAAGGCCCCTTTACACTACCAGAGCTGAATAATGGAACCACAGTATAAATGAGGATAAGGTTCTGAACCTTTACTGTTTTAAAAATAATCTGCAAATGATGTATATGAATTCCATAATCCACATCCTTTGCTGCCAATCAACAGAGAGTAAAATAAAGGGAAGGAGAATGCAAATACTTGCAGCAGCATCTTTATTCTGGAATAAATCAGACCTAACTCAGGTTTTTCACAAGCACTGCCAACTAGGAGATTATAATTAGAGCCTGGCACGGAGACAAAATTTGGATCCACATCCACCTGCGATCTGCAAAAATGGTCCACGGATATCTGCATTCACGGATGCGGATTTCTGCTGATATCCACGGATTTGCAGGGCTCTAATTAAAATGAGCAGTAAGCACTATTTAAAGGAATTGTTCATAAAAGGGAAAGTTAATTCTAAACTCTGAATTAATATAGTTTGCTTATGTTTGTGTCACCCAAGAACAGCAGGACAACATGCTAAAGTGGTCACTTTATTAACAGATAGAAAGACACAACATGGCAACTGCTCAGAAACAGATTCTATGGTATGATGTCCTTCATTCCTGCCCTGGTGGAGAAGGGAGATCAGTCTCCCTGGCCCAGTGAGTCATTGGCCTCTCGGCTCAGACTAGCAATGAGGTGATCAGATCTGACAGTGGTGTGTTCTGGGCTTTTTTTGTTTGGTTGGTTGTTTGAAAACAGAAGTCACTGGGCTGTTACCCCAGCTATTGTAATTCTTTGGATCTAACAGCCTAGCCAGGGGTCCTGTCGATTCTTCCTCATTAGAAATGCAATCTTCCTGGCCATCTCTGTGTTATAAATCCGCCGGCACATCTCGTAGGTTTCCCGCTGCCGCTTGCGGCATGGTTTCTCATAGTACCGGCGCTGCTTGGCATCCTCAATGATCCCATCCATTGTGAGAATTCTGAGGAAATTAATCAAGTGTCAGATTTTGCATTTCTCGAGGGCCTTACAGTTGAGCATAATACTGAGCTTTACAAGCATACATTCGTTAAGTCTAAATCAGAGTGAAGTCAATTGTCCATACAGTAAATCAGGGGAAGTCCTATTTCTCAGCCCCTGCTCTCACCATCAATACACACTCCCTCCCAGTTAATGGCACCAACAGGTGACTTCAGCACAATTGGCATAATTTATTAAGCAGCAAAAATAATGAACCCTCCCAGCTGCCTCTCATTACAAATGATATCCCATTTTGCAGATTCAAATTTGTCCGCAAACCGGATGTTTTCTAAACTGTTTATTTCTATAAATATTAACATCAAAAATGTCAAATCAGAAAAAAAAAAAGGGTGATTTCAGGTAGAGAAATGGGCCCCATGGAATTTTCAAATCTCCTGTATTAATCAGTATTTCCTGGGCCTCATTTTGGGGTCTGTCGTACATTGAGAACTGTACGGCGGAAAATAAAATCCCTTTAAAACTTTGTTATTAAACTATCTGGTAAGCTGTGAAAAAAATCATGGATTAGTGGGACTGTGGCAGCTACCTCCATTGTTAGATTTTACAGTCTCTCTCCTCTTTAGGCTGCAGGCTCATACATGTGCTAGTCAGCAGAGGGCAGTGGTGCAGAGAGATTAGAGAAGGCCACATATAGTCTGACCCAGACACTGCTGCAGGCAATAGAAAGACTCCCATTGACTTCAAGGGGCTTTGGATCAGGCCTCCCCAGTGCATCACCACAGAGATGAGGAATCTTTTATCCACAATGTGACACATTTTGTAAGAGAACAGACTCAGCTACATAAAGGCCTTCTCAATAAGGCTGGCTGACATACAATTCACTGAATGCAACAAGTCTGTTTCAGCTGCATTCCTGTGCTAAGTTATTCACGGAAATGGTCTCAACAGCATTACTGTTGCCAAGCTATCCATTATAAGCAAGCAGGATTGTGTCCTTCCCCATTCTGTAACTGAGCAGGTGAGCCTTGCCCTACCGAAGTCTGCCTTGCCATGTCAACTCTCGTTCTCCTTCTCTCACAGTAGGACTGCTACCAGAGTTCAGGTAGTGGCTCTCAATCATTCCCCATGTATTTTAACAGAATAAGGGTTAAGAACTTGTAGCTAAAAGGTTCCCAACTGTGTAGCCTATAGGATTAACCTGCTTGCTTGCATATATATATATAAAATCTTTTCTTATAGTTCAAGTATTTCGTTTATTGTAAGAGGTTTGTATTTAAAGTAAGTTTGGCTGTAATGCAAGGGACCTACAGTCCATATCCTATATGTTGAGCTAAGGCAAAGTTAGCATATCTATGTCTGGGACCTTTCACCCAGATAGCAAGTCAACACCCACACATGTCTGAGATCTTTCACCTAGTTAGATAAATAATGGAAGAATGGCATAGGGGGTTTCCAAGTCTGTACCCACAGCCTTAACAGGTACACCACAAGGAAAGAACCAAAATAACCGAAGAACAAAAATAACGTGTGGGTGTATGATCTAATGTCATTAATATGTATGTACATGTCCTCAATACGTACAAACATACTAGCCTATGGAGTAAGTGTACCCTAACATTTTTGGTGGGTGAGGAATGAAGTTTGGGCATAGGAGCAGGGCCGGCTCTGGCTTTTTGGCTGCACCAAGCAAAAAAA